TCTGGATGGGTACCTAAGTAGGAGGGGTTTAGAGTGATATGGGCCAAATACTGGCAAATGGGACTAGATTTATATGGGATAGCTGGTCGACATGGATGAGATGGACCAAAGGGTCTTTTTCCGTGCTGTATATCTCTATGACTCTGTGGTGTCGGTTCTAAAACTGTCTAGATGGAAATCGTTTTGACCTCGCTTGTTTTCATGCCAAAGCTAATTTGTCCAAGTTAAAAATATATGATCTGCAATGTACTGCGGATAACTGCAGTGCCATTAGTTACTGTACCCAACACGAAGACCACTCTCAATCTCTTCAATTTTGCGTACAACAAACTTGGCTTGTCCTTGAATGGTGCCAAATCAAAACTCATGTCCACCTACTCCTGGTCAGGAAAAACATTTGACTACCTTTAATGTTGAAAGGCAGACTCTAGTATATGTTGAACACTTCCCTTGGTAGCCGCCATTGATGATGTTGATCAGCTATGCCAACACCTCTTCAAACTACAGCAATCAGTATTTGACGTGCAAGACTCCTGTAAGTCGTAGAAAGACCTGGAGTGCAGTGCAGTTGCTGTCACTACACTCGTGTACTGCAGCAACACCAGGATAGTGTATTAGCAACTTGTAAAAGAGCTAGACTAATTTTTTCAGCAATACTTTTCTACATGCTTCAGATTCAATGAGGGAGTGCTATTGAACAAATGTGTGCATCCTTCATGAAGCCAGTGCCACAATCAATCAGACAACTCACTTAAAAAATCAAATTCAATGAACTTGATGCTGTTATCTGGATGTCCTGTTCTGCATTTCTTAAATGGCCATTATTTCAGGAACAGGCAGAGAAAAGGTTCCAAAGACATGCTGAAGTTCTCCTTGAAACAGTATAACATTGAAATTAATGACTAGGAAAAGCTTTCTGTGAATTATGAAGACTGGTAACAGTTATGTCATTCATTACATATGAACAAAGAGCAGAAGTAGACCGTCTCACCAGCGTCCTGTTTAACTTGAGCATAGCCTGCCTACTTTTCTATTCGGTTCCTATTATGATAAATGTTAATGTTTTATTAGCTTTCCTAATTATTTACTGTGCCTGCAGTTAATGCATGAGGATACCCAGAACTCACTGAATCACAGTTCTGCAATCTCTCTCCACTTAGACAATGCTTTCTCATCCTTGCCAAAATGGACAATTTCATACTTTTCCCCATTCTCCATTTTCCATGTTTTTGTTCACTCATTGAACTGCTGTGTGTCCCTGGTCATTTCCTCAGGCCAACTTCAGACTTACTTTCCTAAATATATTTGAGTAATTAGCAAACCTGGCAACTGCAGCTTCATCTGAATCCATTTGGATAAATTATAAATAGTGAAGTACCAACACTGGTCCCTCTGGTATACCGCTCGTTACATCTTGCTAACCTGAAAAAGAGCCATATATGTCTACTCTGTGCTTCCCATTAGATAATCTTCCATCTACCCCAAGACACTACCTCTACACCATTCATTTTTACTTTCTGTAATAACATTTGAAGTTGCAATTTTGTCAGATGCCTTCTGGAAATCCAATTACAGTACCTTCATCTGTTTCCCTTTATCCACAGCACATCACTTCCTCAAAGACCTCTAATAGATTAGAATCCCCACAGCATGGAAACGGGCCATTTGGCCCAATAAGTCCACACCAACCCTCCGCAGAACATCCCACCCAGATCCATTTTCCTACCCTTTTAACCCTGCATTTCCTATGGCTAATGCACCTAACCTACACATTCCTGATCATTATGGGTAATTTAGCATGGCCAATCCACTTAACTTGCACATCTTTGGCCTTTGGATTTATCCTTCCAAATCTCCCTGTTGAACAGATTTAAGTGCCTTGCTATCACTACAACAGTTTTTAACATTTTCCCTTTGGCAGATGTTAAGCTAACTTGCTTGCAATTTCCCACTTTCTGTCGTCTCCTCATTTTGGATGAAAGGAGTTACATTCCCTTCCAATGAAAGAGACCATCCCTAAATCAACAGTTTTGAAAATGAAAATCATTACATCAATGAACTCTGGACACTTCTTTCAGGCTCTAGGATGAAGTCCATAAGGACTTGGCACATGCTAGTCTATGGCTCCAGCAATTCATTCAGCACCACTTCTCTGGTGGTTGTAATTTATGAGTTTATCCTTCCCTTCCATTTCTTGATTTATCGCTACTTCTGGGATGTTAGTTGTGTTGTCTAAAGAGAAGACTTGTACAACATATGTTTTAATTCATTTGTCATCTCCTCATTTCCCATTATTAATTCTCAAGAGTCACTTTTTTTTTCTTTATTTATGGAAACTCTGTTTTTATATTACTGGCTAGCTTTATCTTGTTCTCTGACTTTATCCCCACATTAATTATTAGTCATTCTTTGGTTTCTTTTTATATTCTGTTCAGTTCTCAGACCTGGAACCTGTGCCTGAGTAATTATGTACTTTTTCTTTTAGTTTTGATGCTATTTTTAACCTGTCTAGTTAACCATGGTTTGAGTGACAATATCCTAATGATGAGGCAGAGCAGTGACAGAGAAGAAAAGCAAAGAAAACAAATCCTACATTTTGGCTCCTACAACCTCATGGGCTGCACAACACATGTGCCCAAAGATCAGGAGGTCAGGAATTGGCCTGTTTAGCCACATGAATACCCATGACAAGAGTTCCCTGTCCTGAGTCGATATCACCCACGAATTGAGGGACTTCCACTGATCACAGAGTTAAGACAAATTGGAAGAGATAGATACAGAAAACCTGAGAAAAGGAACTGAAAGACAAGAGTGCACAGATAGGCACTTGATTTGAGTAAATTTGCAGGGCTACAGGAATTGAGTAGGGCAGTGGACTTGGCTGTTTTGATCTGCTGAGAATAGCATGGACTCAATGGACTGAATGGCCACCTTCTACACCTTAAACGACTCCAAGTCTTGAGATTTGTTAAGTTTTAGTCTGTTCAATATCTCCAATGCTTTTTCTCTAGTATTAATAATCTTGGGGTCCTCACTCTCATTAGCTCTTCGATTATCTTCTTTTCTAGTAGATAATTTGTCTTCTACTGGTGTACTGGGGAAAGTAATGTGTTGTCGCTGTCATTTTCTCTCTTCCCAAAAATTCATATCTATCTTAACTGAAATATAAGGATTATTTTGTAATGTATTATGTATTTATGAAGAACATAAGATGTTGGATTAGAAGTAGGCCATTCAAACTGTCAAGTCTGTTCTAACATTCAATGAGATCATAATTAGTCTGATAATCCAAATTCTACTTTTCTGCCTTTTCCCCACAACCCTTCTTTCCCTTACTGATTAAAAATCTATCCATCTCCACTTTGAATATACTTAACTATTCAGCTTCTACAGGCCTCTGTGGTAAAGAATTCCATAGACTCACTATGCTTGGAGGGGAAAGAAAAATCCTCCCTATTGAGACTTAAGCATAAAACGTATGAATTAATTAAACTATACCTTTGAATGATTTAATGTGTATTTGTGTAACTGTCTTCTTTGCTAACCACCCCGAGGCAATTTTAAACAATTACATGACTTTTGAGCATATTGTATAATCAGGACAATTAGATAAATTTACCATCATTTAATTTCCTGATTAAGCACCAGCATAATTATGTGGGAGATAGAACCATGATCGTGTAACCATTTTCAGTTATCAGTACGTCCATTATACTGCTCAGTTTGTTTACAGGATAAGACTGTTCCAGACAAAATAATTTT